TAGTCAGTCACTCGCTCCCCAAACCACCAGGAAATCAGCTTTCCAAACATGTTATCTAATGCCTCTTGTCACACAGCCACACACCCTCCAGCACACCAACAACAAGTCTGCCAAAACCTGCATTTATGCTATCAGGTTGCCATCTCACCCCTCTCTCCCTGCACTAGTTATGGTTATTTGCAGGCAATGCCAAGAATCCATTAGTTGCAGGTCATGCCTGTTAGTTTTGCTGCTACAGCTATTTACATACAGAGCAGCACATTATGGCCACCGTCATGTAGTCACCAGTCTTTACACTCAATCATGGACAGTCATGGTTTTTCCTTATAGACAACCCCACTGTACAAGTCTAAGTAATGTTCAGGAAATACACTTCTATACATGACAATGTACAAATGCATTACAATTAAGTATGTAAAGAAACCTTACATCAACACATAAGAAGTATTGTGAGCATAGGACGAATATCAACATTTTCTCTATTATCACTGTGATATGCTGTATAAAAAAAATAAATAATAACAAGCCACTTTAAAACATAGGAAGTAAATAATCACTGTAAATGGCATTGCAATTATGAGTAGATCTCAACAAGTATAAGTAAGTAATGACCAGCCAAGTTTACTAGTTAGAACAGACATGTTAAAGTTCAGAATTTAGAACCAGATATGTCTGTTCTGTAAATACTGCTGCTTCCTGGTTCTGTGCTGTTTCAGTGTTTCATTACCAGTGCCATGTCAGAAACTCCCTCATGGGTCAACAACTACCTGCAGTCTGGAAGTTATCTGTGTAATTGTGTGCCCCTGCATCTCAGGTTCACTGATCTGCACATGCAATTTTTTTTCCACAAGAAATCATGCAATTGAAAATCTGCAAATTAGCTGATTCCCGGGAGAAAGGAGAGATAGACTTATATGATTTTATTTGTATAAAAGTATCATAACGCATGTGCATGCATAGAAGTTCAAATGTCAAATGTGGACAGATTTTGGACATGTCCATCCTCCAATTCAAAGAAGTTTCTCTTTCTTCTAATGACTAGCTTTCACGAAATGTATGACTAATGTTGCCAAGTAGATGTACTTGAAAATATCTTTTTTTATTGATAAAAATGCTAATTCATGCAATGACCATTTTCAAAATATACTTTAAGCCAAGGGTCCCTATGTTGAGAAAAAAATCGGAAGATAGTTGTAACTAAAAATAGCTCTCTCACTGAAGTTCCCACTGACGCACACAGAAATTGAATCTGTCCTCTCCACATCCCCTTTCAAACAAAGCTAATCCAGAAGCACATACCTACACTACATTAGTGCCATAAAAACCACCTTTCTAAGAAATCTCACACAGATCGAGCCTCCTCGGGGCAAACTGAATCTGACTCTACTTGTGTGATGACGCAAGTCCTGCGTCAGAGAAAATGTCTCCGGACAGATATTGAGTAGCGCTGAAAATTAGGTTACCTGAGGAGGCCGTACCAGCTTGAGATATTAACGATACAGGCTTTGTGTTGATCACATATTACGTTTGTATGTATGAATGTCTGACAGAACAGGTGGTAATACCTGGGTCAATGTTCTCTGGTGTAGACAGCCTCTGGAATGGGTAGGCTTGGGGATGATACCCTGAAACAAAAACACAACACTTGTTATGTTAACCATGCCAACAGGATTTAGTTTGTCCTACCCACAACACATACACAAAAATTATTCTTCAAAACATTCAAAATTTTAAACAAGTAATACAGCAAAGGTTTTATTATTTTCTGACACAAATGTCAAGGATATGCTGTATGCGGTGTACAATAGCACATAACCCCACACAGATATCTAGGTTCATCCAATTTTAAAATTTGGAGCACAACTGCAATTTTGGGTGCACAAAAGTGCAAAATATGCACCAATAATGTTGCGCCCTGGCACGTATTCCAAACCTGTTTTCAACAGGAGAACCTGAACCAGTAATGCCTCACGGATCAGTATACATGCTGGCATTCCATCTAGCTCAGTGACCCAACCGTTAACCTTTCTATTGATTGTTCTATCAGTGTGGCCAAGGATATAATAGTCCCAACATCAGTCTCTAGATTCAATAGACCTACATTTCACAACACTGTAGGCATCAGATATCTTTTATCGTGAGAGGGGCTGTGTGTGGTAATGTTACTCAATAATTAGGGGACAAATCATTGGATCATTGGTCCCCAATGTTGGGCAGTTCATATAGCACTTCGTTTTGTATGCCCCACTAATTCAATTTCATTCTTATTACCTTAACAACAAAAAGACCATTGTTGGGAAAATTAAGGCTGGCTTTAGTTCACATACCTTTTCACACTGTTTTCTAGCTACGTTACTCTATTTGAACTTGAAAATGGAAATAAACAATGTTTTAAAATACAGTAAATCACCTAATGTTTGCAGTAGCAAAAGTGAGAAAAATGGACGTTTGCTGAACTCTACTTTTGCGTTGGCAGTAGGTACAGCAAAAAGAAGTTTGCCGAATTATTTGTCCATGGTAATGATAAGTTTGTCATACAGAAGTGACCACAAAAACTGCAAATATAAAAGTAATACAAAAAAATGTGATTTACAGTAGAAACAAATGACCCAAATATCAATTCTTTATCAATTTTTTTAGGTGCACATAAAACTTGGTAATGTCTATAACAAAAAATTAATTAAAAAAACACAATACAAACTTCCATGTAAACCTTACATCCTAGTTTGGGTAAGCTTACAAGTGTTGTCACCTGTAATCCCCTATCTAAACAACCCCAGCTGTTACATGGTTATTCTGGCAACAGGAAAATGATATCCAGACACACTATGAAGAAGATAATCAACCCATTACTGCTCCATAATGCTTCCCCTCAGAAAAAATCAATATGAAATCCCAGGGCACCATCTGTGTGCTGCACTTTGGCAGAAGGAACTTTGTGACTGCACTCTGAATTACCTCACTGCCTGATCTTAGCTTGACCCCGGACTTTTATCTAATGCAGACTTCCCGAGTCCTGTTACTCAATTAGTGAATGATATCGGCAAGAGTATTTTCAATCATGGCTACATTTTCCAAGACAACAAATTCTACCCCACCCAAATGAAAACCTAGCCAGAAGAAAACAAATTCAGTTAGCTAACAATCTAGTAAGGAATCTTATGCTTTGGAAAATCTGTCAACGTTTGGTGTGCACATTTTCTGCTGCGTAGCTGCATTTGAGAAGGTGGCCTTAGGCAAAGAAAAACACTTGGCGAGTCCAAATAGCGCTGAATACAGGATCTTGTCGGGCCATTCACACCCGAAGTGGACACAATGTGGCCAGAACAAACAGACAGAAAATCAAAACTACTGACCGTCGTATGTCAATAGCTACACCCCACCAAACAGTCCTGTAACCAATCAAACAACACCGATATCCCGTATCACCCCATCTTTGTTCTGCCGGACAGTTTACAATCGCCATGGTAACAGTGTACATATCGCCATGGTGACCGACTCGGTGGCCATGGAGACGGAGACACACTTCCCTGTCAGGTGCCCCTGCAAAGGGACCTCATGCATGGAGCCTCACATGTCTTTGAACTCCTGTCAAGCATGGCAGCTCAATGATCACATTATAACTTGAGACAAATACATTTCCACGCCACATTTACTTATCTCTCATACATAGCATATCAAAAGATTTTACAGCCATGAATTTCTATAAAGTCAACGCATTCTTCACATTAGTTAAATGCTGCTTCAACCATCGCACAATTGACTGACGTCACATTTTGTGCTAAACTTTCTACCTTTGTACAGAGATTTAGCGGTATTAATCACTGAACATAAAAAGCACCTGCACCATATGGTTGTAGTGTGCACAACCTAGATAATGGAACCCTTCAGACTACTTTTCAAGATTGAATCTATTCCACATGCCCAGCACCATAGAGACCAACACAAACAACGGGTCTCTCTGCCAACTGGTAAATATTGGTCCCCTTGGCTTGATAAAGATCCTTTTTAACTTGTGAATAATTACACCATTGCTGGGTACTTTCAAACCTCAAGAGGTTTGGGAACTTGGGGAAGTACAAAATATTTTGGCAAAGGATCAACTATTTACACATTTCAGACCTAGAAACCATAAAACATCCTGTCCCGAGAGCAATTCCCTATCCTCAGTCATGACCTATGTACTTAGGAAACAGAATAACTGAGGTTGCAGAATGCCAAGTAGCAAATTTGACCAGACCAGTGGAAAGTTTACAATTTGAGTGATAAGAAAAGAATCCATCAAAAATTCTCATGGTTCTACAGTTGACTCAGGAGAGCAGTGAGCATAACTTTTATGCAAAACGGACCTGACATTTGACTTTCTACCCACCAAAGTCATGTGTTAAAGGGTGAGTTGTTGTACAAGATGTCTGAGAAGCTCCAATACACTTGACCTTCATATAAGACCGTATCAAAGTTGACAAAACAAGCCAACACAGGCCAAGACTTTTTTTAATGGTTGATTGGCTTGCCTGACATGGTATTGTGTTCATTGGATTCCTTACCTGTAGAACTTGCCATGCCAGTCATTTTCTTAGTGTCAAAGGCAAGACATTCACAATGCCTAACATCTCTAGGTTATCAATCATATATTGTCTACCTTGTCTTTCACAAACCAGGCTTTTACAATGCAGAATTTCTTGCATTGCTACCTTTCTTTCCTTTGTGTTGGTTTCAATTTCAGACTACCTATTCTGAGCTTCTATGAAACATTTTGACAAGAAAGAGGTTTAATGATCAATTTTAAAACAAAAATTAATGTATCATGTAGCATGTCGTGACACAAGTTTTGCTTTCATCATGCTCTTTCTTCGTGACGCTTTCACTTTGGTGACAGGATGTTGACATGTTTACATAAACATCTTCTGGAATAGACTGGTGCTGACCCTTAACTTTGCCACGTTTTCCTACTTGTTTCTATTTTCACAGTGCCTGATCAACGATGCTGGTTGTCTCTTCCACAAGGTCAAGGAGAGTTTCAATTTTCTTATTTTCAACAACTGCACTGGACGAAATAAGAAATTGATCACAATTCATGCTACATATTATTTACATTTGGTATCCTCTATTATCATCACCCTCTTTCCAGTAAAGGCTGCGACTGACGTATTTGACAGATCGCTAAAAAAATCTTAAACTTAATCAAGCCCAAAGAACGTTTTAATGTTTTGTCCTGTTCTAAATTATACTTTTTTTTGCATCATGTATCATATTCCAATGATACAGTCAAATGTTGTGTAAATCCATTTTGGTCACTCAACGATCGCTCAGCGATCACAATCTAGTGGGAAGGGGCCTAAACAACAACATGACTTGTAACTGTAAGAAGGACATATTATGCATACATACCTGCAGCTCCATTGTTGCTGATGTACAGCCCTGTTGGGTATGGCCCCGTCCTGCAAGACCACACAAGACAACATGTCAGCAAAAACGCCTTAACTGCCATGCCCCGAGGGCAAGTCTTCATAGCACGCTGAAGTAGTCATTTGGCTACCGATTCTCTATTGTTTATGATGTAAGGCAGCAGGGAGAAGGTTAAACGACAAATGAGTTTGAACGTTCAAAACATTTCTTACCATCCAGTACCAGTCTGCAAGGTCCAAGTTAAAGTTACGGAACACTGTTTGCTATGGCACACCCAACCATCAAAAAGATGACTTATCAAGAAAGGCTTAGGTACATCTATTGTAAAAGACATGTTTGTTTACTGTATATTATTGCATTATGTAACAATACAAACTGCACCTGTTAACTTCTACAAAACAGGTTCTTTTGACTTCTATAAATGTTCTTTAATACATTGATTGATAAATATTGGGTTCAATTGACCCCAGGATGGGACATGCACTGTTCAACATAATGTATAATCAATTTAGTTCCTTGATTACAAAAGTAGGATTTTTTCGGAAACCTAATCTGTGAGTAGACACAGATATTTAAAAAAAATGGGGTCAGAGGAAATGCCCTGTGTTTACCTGTTGTGACCAATTTTAGTTTGATTGATGGTGCTTGTACTGTAAAAGTGACATGCTCAACTAGGTAACTGCATGTTTCAGAAAGACAACTTTTAAATCTATTTTTCTGTGGCTAGGTGGCTACCTGTGTTTTCCCAAACTTGTTACTAGGAGGAATTTATTCAAAACTTTCGTGATATTTCTGCATCCTCAAAGCGTGATGCACTCTCCACGGAGTTCTGTACATGTTAATGAGTTTCTTGCTGGTTTGTAGTGAGGTATTTTTGTGGTACATTTTTGTGGATGGATACGGCAACTGACACGACAAGACAAGGCCCATCTCTAGCCTGCAGGCATGTTTATACAGACAGAAACAGTTGACATGCATGTCTTCAGATCAAACATTCACAGGTGTTCACAAAAGAATCTCACATAAAATCAGTCAATGATAAAAATATGCAGTTCCCAAAATAGAAATGTCACACTCATTATGTACGAGGCATTATCTCTGAACAGCATCAGAAGACATACACCGCTATAGAAAAAGACTTTGGAATATTTTTATGGTCTTTAACCACAGTAAATAAACATGAAGAGGCATGCGATTATTTTTCAGAGGTCATGGCATGTGGGTCACCTAACGTCACATTTGTCTTCACCATTTCTGATTCTCACTGATAACAAATTTACTGATAAATATCAAGTAACTAACATACAAAGGGCTCTTGTATAGGAGTGGAGACAAAAGCTTTGGAAGGCAGCCCATCTCTGAGTAGCTAATGAATAATGCCATACCCTCTTGAAATACTTGAGTGGTGGGAAACCCATTTGGCTTGCCACCTTTGACCTCCGTGCTGAACAACATGAAAGGCGATGCCAGCCATCCCACCCAGAGGGCAAGGCACCATAATAATTTCAAACCTCCTTGTCAAGAAGTTACCCAGAAGTAATCTTTGGCCATAGATACTGTTTATAAGACATCATGTTAATCAAATTCCTATTCTTTTATATCAAAATCTTTCCAAGTTTTCAGGGTTTAGGTAGTAAGAAATATTTATACTCACTTGTCACCAGGACATTGACTTTGTGCTACCAACTCGAAATCTTGATGTTCCATTTATAGTGCACTCTCAACAAGTATTGGCCTTCTCCACAACGGTCAACAGGAGACCATTTACTATTTGGAAATGCCATACTGCATTTACGGCAGAGCATTTAGCCACTCACAAAAGGCATGTGTCCCAAATTAGCTGTTCTTCCCCATCCCTCCCATCCATCCTGGTCCCCATAAACAGCACTAGTGACTGCCCCGAATGGCAGCTTACATGGTGCTAGGAAATCAATGCAGAATACCAGGCCAACATTTTCACAATCAATAGGCTGTCGGCCACAGGAAAGCGTGCATGCATTCCATAAAATGACATGATTGCGGTGAAAACTATCCACATACATGTACTAGTAAGCTTGGTTCGACAAGCTATTAATATATTAAATGGGAGTCATTATATAATAATCCATATCTTCGAGTGAGATAATTCAGTTGGCGTCTATACAAGGAACTTAGCCAAAATTGTGATCAATATTTTAAGAAACAATCACGAACCATATGTGTGCTCCAAGAAATACCAAATCAGAAAAGATAGTAGATCTTGATTAATTAAAGACTTTTACCATGTAAGAGTTGATGTAGGAATGTGGTTGACTTACCCAGAGTGTGGCAGCTGTTGTGGGGAGGGGGGCGGAGTGGTGAAGATGTGGTGGTAGGGGTGGATGGGAGTTTTCTTCAGTGCCTGCAGCAGGTTGGGTCTGTAGGCTGGATCTATCATCCATAACGAACCCTTCCCGATACTCTGCAAAGGGCAACAGAAAGCCTGGGTTATCAAATGCATAAAATTATGATTTCTGAAAAGGTAGAATACAGTCTTTTAGCAGCTTTTGCTATGACTTCATTCATTCATTCATTCACTCACTCTCTCTCTCTCACTCACTTGCTCCCAAACTCTGTATAGCTGTTACTTTCCATTCCTTCTATCTTAACTTGCACCAATTAGGGACATTCTTGTCCAATTGTGTCGCCAACAAAAAGATGTTTATCTACAACCCAACCTAACCTATACCCGGGGGTACTCAAATTATTTACCACAAACTATTCACAATTCTGTTTCTGAAGCTACTATAAATGAAAGACATCATTCTTAGTTCCTCGACAACTTTTATTCACAGTTGAGAAATCAGTGCTCCCGAGAAGTTGAGTTGGGAAGATGACTAGATTAAAGTTAATCCTTGCTGCAGGCTAGCAGATAATCCTTCTGGCTCCATGTAAACAAAGCTGATGTGGTTTGTTTCTTGCCTTATCTACTGTGACATGTACAATAAGCCGATCTTCCCTTTTCAAATATGGCTGCAACAGTTTATTTCCTTGGTCCTCAGACATTTTAAGGTTAAAATATAGCAAGTGGACATTATAAAATCAATGAGGGAAGGCAAATTTGAATTTGACTGTATTTACACCTGAAACTAACTGCACCAAGTCATAAACCTGGTTCTCATCCTTTGTTTTCATTGTTTTTTTCAGTTAAGGATAATTTTTAAAATCCAAGAACCAACAAATTAAATTGGACATGCCCATGCAATAATGGCCCTGCAAGTATTTAGACTGTGTTTTGAGATAAAAACACAAAAAAATACAATTTAACAGAAAAGTACACAACGGATGAGGTAATTACGTTAGATGGATTAATGTAATTGAACGTTGGACAGGGAAAGAACAATACTACTGTCATCTAGATTCTTTTATTCAGCCAGGGTACATCTCTCACATGGGTACACCCCGCACTGACTGTGAAACTATCCAACACAAGTTCTGTACTTCTTGATATGAAGTCGTGATGAATAATTGATACATCAAAAGCGGCTAATCTCATTATGCTGTATTAGCCTGGGCGGTACAGGATGTGGTACAATCTGAGTTCCCCAACAGTCTACAGCACTTATCCCCGTCTTCCTGGCATTTAGGGCTGCTAATTTGGGTGCAATCCGACCATTTCTGGGGTGTTACTGTTAGGCAGATGTCAACATGTCAACATTTCAGCTGTGCACAAAACATGGTAGGGCAAAGTCAGCACACCAATATAACATTTCTTTACCATACACTCTTGAAGTAATCTCCCAGATAAGGTGCAACACATGTAACTATCACACTAAACTTCATTACTGTTTGACTATATTCCGTGTTTGGAAAATTTTATTCCAGTTATTGTGCGAAACATTACACAGTTTGCTACAAAAACACACCCAACATATCTACTTGTAAATCATCACCCCTTCCCAAGTCACCTTGCTGCCAAGATATCGACTCCCCATGCTTTTAAGGATGTCCTTGCCAGGTCTGGGCTATTGTTTTTGCTAGCTAAAAGGTCAATGCTTTGATCAACAACCAAACTACAACAGGAATGTCTATTTTCACTGTAAAAAGCTTCAAATGTCCAGTATTCCCCAGTTAAAATGATAAAACCACCAGCATCTAAAAATCAAAATCGAACATGGAGCAAACAAAATGAACCCTGTGCTCTCAGGGCTGGACAAGTTTTCAAAAATCCTCTTGCCCTATTGGGCAAGTACATGGTCATTTCTACTTGCCCGAACCAACTTTTCACTTGCCCAAAGTATACATAACATTTTTATGCATTTTTACTACCAGCATCTTGTTTTAGAATATAATGCTGCATACTTTACTTATCAAAATAATGTGGTTTGAGACTTGCGATGGATTTTCGGACAAAAGGACATTAATATAATATCAATTTGGCAAAATGATGAGTAATTTTGCTCCAAACACCATAGCGGCTATCCTTTGCATCCAAAAAATTTACTTGCCCAATCGGGCAAGTACAGAGGGATATTTACTTGCCCGAACAGTGCTTTTACTTGCCCTGGGCAAGTGGGCAATGGGACTTGTCCAACCCTGGCTCTACCTTGTGACCTTTAAAAAGAGAACAAGCACGACACTTGTTTCGGTGGGGTCAGAACCTCCGTCAACAATGGTCGACAAGTATCCATTCCAAAACCTCAGAGCTATCATTTTACCTTAGGGGTCTCACACGAGGACACTGTTACAGAATATTTTGGCTTTTATCTAAACCTTATTTAGACAGTGATTTTTAAAATCCTTTTCCCATGGATCTTTCTGGAGATACCTTTCGTGGGTAATCTAACCGAGTATACCCAGTTACAGGT